AGTTAAAGTGAGAGAGGGAGAGAGGTATATAGGTAGAGGGAGAGAGAGAGAAAGTCGGTTAGTAGGAGGGAAAGTGAGGTAGTATCTATGAAAGAGACAAAGACAGAGATATATCACAAGAGAATCTATGCAATCTTACAGATATATGGATGACAGAGATACATGAAAATATATATATATCTGTCTATTCATATATAAAAGAAAGTATAATATAATGAAGATAAATAATCAGATTGGATGAGCTTTGCAAAGATAAATATATTTGTGCCTCGAATCGAATAACAATCAATAAGATGTCTGTCAAGTTTGGAAATAGGCAGAGGGACAGACTAATCTGGCTATATTGACTACAGAACATCGGATATTAATCCCATGCATGACGATAACTGACAGCGGCTCGAATAGAGGCCAAGGCCCTTGTCCTTAGCTAAAATAACAATTATATAAATACAATCTCTTGAAAATCCTTGCAGGAGCTCAACATACTTAAGTACGCCAGCAACCAGTTGGGCAACAGCTCCTTCTTTGAGCTCGTGCTGCAGACGCTGGCTGCCAGCAAGAGCTACGACGTGCGACTAATGTGTGGCCCATTGCTGGGCTTTGTGCAGCGTCTACAATTGGAGTACATCGTTGGTCTCGTGCCGTTGCTTTCGTATGCCTATTATACCAATTGCTGTGGCGCACGCGGCCAGGAGTTGCTTGCCGACAGCGAGTGTCCGGCGGATTTGCTGCAGCTGTGCGACGGCCTCTTTGCGGCACTGCAGTTGGAGGCGACACTGCAGCAGCAGCAGTGCGAGATTGCGCTGTTCAATCAGCGCATCGAGACACAGACGCTGATCGCATCGGCACACTATTGGGCCTATGGCGATTTGCTGGACAGCGAGCAGCTGCCCTGCGGCCACATCATAAGCCGGCAGAAGCTGTGCGAGGCCATCAGCCAGAACTGGCAGACCCTGGCCGAGAGTTCGTTGGCCATGCAGAGATTGCAGCGTCGGCTGGCATCACAGCTGGATCAGCTGCAGAGCCAGCGCAGCAACTGGAATCGGAATCACATCGACAGCCTGCTGCGCAACGAGCAGCTGCAGCATCAGCTGACCAGTGATCAGTTGGACGTGATTAATGAGCTGAGCAAATGCGCCAGTGCGCTGTGCAGCATGGAGCAGGTGGGCTTGGTTGTCGGACAGCAGCAAAAACTGCTGCTGGACAACATGGAGCAGTGGCTGCAAGCCCATCATCAATGGCAGGTATGCAATGCGCGTATTAGCGCCGTCGAGCAGGCCATTGTCCAGCTGCTGGATCCCGAAGGCGCCATCGATCAGTGCTGGGTGGAGAATGTGCAGGGTCTGCTCGAGGATTACACGTGCAAGGTGCAGCGCGAATTGTCAACGCTGGAGTTGGAACAGCAAAGCAGGCACCGTTACATATGCACGTTACTCAAGGAAATTCAGGTAAATCGTGCAACAATTTCCATCTAAAAGCCTGGCAAAACCACTGACAATGTTTTCTTCTTTTTCTTTCCATGCAGCGTCACCAGGAGCAGATGCCACGGGTTTACACACGCAGCCTGTGTGCCGATGCCGAGGATCAGGGCAAACTGGTACCGCTTGATGTGCAGCTGCTTTGTGGCCATGTGCGCGATTCCCAACGCACGCTCTTGAACTTCTTCCAGCGATTGCTGGATCTGCGAAAGGAGTTAAACAGCGAGCGACATAGTCTGCGCCACGACACGCTCTCCAATTGGCAACAGCAGTTGCATCTAATCGAGCAAATGGCCAACCACGATATGGATGTATTCTTTAGAAGCATTGACGACTATCTACAACATGCCGCCGAAGGCGAATCACTGCCATACGAAACTTTTACGCATAACAAGGGTAATCGCCACAAATGCCAACATGTTCCATCACAATCTCAACTTGCATTCCATTTTCAGGTGCAGCCAATCTGCACGAGCAGAAACGTAATGCATATGGCGTATCCGTTTGGAAGAAAATACGCATGAAACTGGAGGGACGCGATCCGGACAGCAATCAGCGCACCACTGTTGCCGAACAGGTGGACTATGTGATACGCGAGGCAACCAATCCGGACAATCTGGCCGTACTGTATGAGGGCTGGACGCCATGGGTCTAACACAACGGACATGCCAACAGTGGCAAACGGGCATATAAATCGCATAGATAACGCATTATGATCGGGGCTGACGACAGTGACTGGACTGGATTGGACTGGACTGGACGCTGCAAAGTGCAATGCCTGCTGTCAAATATCTATGTGTATATTTTAATATATATATGTATATATTGCATATATACACGTTCAGGCAGGCGTTAATTGCCGCTAAGGGGCGCAACGATCGGCGCGCTCCCATCCATTTCCACACACAGCCTGCCCATCCTAAAAGTATAGTTGATTTAACGACAGAACAAAAAAAAAAAACAAAACAAATGAACCATTGAACATGAAAGACACAAAGACAATATCGTTTCGGTTGCTTTCAAAGCTCAATGCGTTGCCCAAACGCCCACACCGCCGCCCACCCACAGTGCTGGGTGCTGAGCGGGTGGCGCCGAAGGATGCAGCGCCTCGTGGGGCTAGCACTTCGGAGCTCGCCCAAAATGTAAGCAACTCGACGGGCCTTGGAACAGTTCTCGCAGCCGCTGCAAATTTCAGATTTTAATTCATTTTAAGCACACACGCACACACACAACAACCCACAAGCATTCTTCTTTTTATTGAACTTTTAACCGCCCCTCGCAAAAGAAAGAGAGAAACGAAAAACCTCATATTATATATCATGTATTTAATTTTAAGCTTTGAAAATTTTTTAATTTAGGCTCTAATCGTTTTTACCTAACTATCCTATAGCCATACTATGAATACATTTCCCACACACGCGTACATTCATACATCAGCAGGCGTGGCGCATCTCTTGAGAGATGTGCTCCAGTTGGATTTGTTAATTCATTTCATTTACAGCCTAATTTTTTTTTTTGTTTATTAGTTTTTTGCGGTGATTAAATGCGATCTTCATTAACGAGTAATACACGATTAGTCTAATGTGTTTTAATTAGTTGGATTTTCGTTACTTCCCCGTCGATGGGTTGCAAGTCATCGAAGGTATTATCGATACATGTAAAACAACTTGCGTAGCAATTCTCTCGATTTGGCCAGAGGTAATTTTCCAAATTTATTAAATCAAAATTTGAAATTTTTTGTGAAAAGGCCCTAAATTGTAAAACCGTTAAAAAGACATAGTTTCTAAGCCAATTTATAAAATGCACAATATCTCGTTTCAACTTTCAGAAAAAGCATGTTTTGAGAACACAAATGGACACATACATATCTCCTGGCAAATGGAATCAGATAGATCAGCGAAAATCTAATTGGACCAAAAGGAGCGGATCAGATTGTTAGCAGCTGCAAGGTATTTTTCGCAAGGTATTTTTCGACCGCAGTCCGCCTAAAATCATTTTTTAATGCGTTCCTCCCAGGTATGTTTATCCATAAAATGGTTTAGATATAATCTTCAAATTTCTTTGAAAAAAAAGATCTAAGGATAGCTGAAATAGATCAGACGTTCCGAATAAATACAGGTTGAAAGCAAAATAAAATGATCCAGTTCGTAAAAAATGTTCGATTGGTAAAAAAAAGTGCCATCAGCGTGAATAAATGTATTTATATATAATCACTCATTTATTTCCTAAATTTTTTTGTTTTTATCTCAATTAGCTTTTTCCCATCGGTTGTCATTTTACTTGGTAATCATTCGTTTATCAATTACGATTATAATTTGTTGTTCTTGTTTTCCGTTGGATAGGGTGTAAAAAGTTTTAAATGTTCTTAATAGGATCAAGACATACTTGTCACCAGCTAATGCATTTTGTTTTTAGGTATTTGTTGCAAATCAACATTAACGTTATTGGGATTCTTGCTTACAGCTATTTTTGTTGTTATCTCTTTCTGTGTGTGTGCGTGTGTGTGTGTGTGTGTTGTGTGTATGTGTGTGTATGTATCTCAATGTATTTTACAAACAAGTACTATTATAAATGAAAATTCCAGCTATTTATAAATATTGTTTTCATTTGTAACTATTTTCTTATGTTCTCATTGTGTTTGTGTCGTGAAAATCATTTTTCAGTTAACGTTAATGTTACCTTTGCGGTTACGCTGAATGCGGAACGCTAACGCTATAGTTATACAATTATATGTTTATAATATGTACAGTATTTTAATGTATACATATCTATTTATTCATATAAATGTATGTACTATATACGTATATATATATAATTTACACAAAAACTTTACGAGCTGTCGTCATCCATTTCCGCCGCAACTGCGGCTAAGGAAAGTTGTTATTACAAAATAATAATAAAAAAGCAAAAAAAAAAAACCCGAACAGTAAATAATAGTATCGTTTTATATTCTATATATATATATATCTATATATGCATATGTATTTACGGCCCAGCTCGTAGGCTACGTTACGTTACGGCTTATGAATGCGGCTATTTTGTTTTTTGGATACCCTTTGTCTAGGACAGGAACTCCATTAGCCAGTTTTAAAACATGAAATACAGTTAATTGCCTTAAGCATTCGTTTGACCAGAATTTTCACATGACAGATGGTTCAATATTTGCAATATTTTCTCATTTTACATTGTTTTAAAAAAAATTTTTTTTTAGTCAAATTAACAATACAAACAGAATACAAGTATAACAAAAAAAAGTGGGTGTGTATAAAAATAATATAAATAGCAATAACTAATTTATGACATGGATAAACACAAAGAATTTGTAAAATTTGAAATAAAAAACAATGACATAAAGTGACATAGTAGTATATCAATTTTGTAAAGTAAGGCTTTCATCCTTTTTGTTTTTGGTTGCTTTGCTTTTGTGTACTAATTAAGCATAATTATTTATAGTGTGTGTTTGTTATGCTATTATCTTTTTATAGGTTTTTTAGTTGTTCTGTGTTTATCCTATTTTAGTTTGTTTTTTAAAATAATAAATACATACATACATATACATTACATTACAATTACATCATATCCATAGTACAAAATATAAAATTTAACATCACATTGGTTGACATTCTTTTGTTGGTTGGTTGGTTGCTTCGCTTTCATGCACTTTCATCATCATTAACTTTATCTTTACATCATTCTTAACATCGTGTTGATTTAGCTTTATTTGTTTCTTTTTTGTTTTGTTTTTGTTTTTTTTGTGGGTTGGTTGGTTTCGTTCACTTTTGTCCTTTGTCCTTTGTTTGTTGACGTTGCACTTTCTAGTTATGATAGCATTGTAAATTAATTTGTTTCAATTGATTTGTGTTTGTTTTTTTTGTGGATTTGCATAAACAGTCGGTCGGTAGGTCAAAACGATCGATCGCTCGATCCAGATTTTGCTTGTCGTAGCCTCTCCTCTCACTTCACTTTCCATTCCATTTAACAATTGATGATCTTTACAATGTTGGCTTTTTGTTGCTAACCTGCAAATATGCAAAACTACTGAGTACAACACACAACAGATTTTCTACTATTTATATATATATATATAATATTTATATATACACAATATACATACAAATGCTTGCTGAAAAGTCGTCTATCATCCAGTTTTGTTTATGGCACTCGCTCTACGCACTGCCCACTTAGACGTTAAACGACTTAACGAGCTCTGAAATACAAATACAATGCATTAAGAAGCATATATACAAGTACACATATATGCATGTCAAATGCCAACGCATGCATATGCATGTCTTGACGAGAGATACAAATTACATTGAGTTCCCAATATGACAAAGCTACATTCACATATCAATATGCACATTACATACACAAAAATAATACATTAAATATTAGCATGTTTGTATAGACCGCTTGACTGCTATATACAATTATTCATATCACTGGCGCATTTCAAGATGTGTTTGCCAAAACAAAAACCAAAAAAAATAATATATGATAGCTATTAATCAACAGTATATACACACACACACACACACACACCCAAATGATATATGTGGCTCTTTACCTAATGAGACTTTTACTAATCTCCTGGATGCTCGGGACAGGAGCGATTCACCTCAAACCAACGATCAATGCAGCTGCAAAATAGAAAGGAAATGTCCAGTATATAGCATATATATATATACACATCAATAATTGAACATTTAGCAGCCTCACCCTTTGTGGTATATGCATAGACATGGCAATCGAGCAATTGTATCACCTGGACTCAAGTCTTCAAGGCATATGACGCACTCGCCCTTGGCGTCCAATAATGTATCCTCTACAAAACATATACATTTAACATTTTATTTTGTTGTAAACATTTTGTGGCACTCTTGCACCGCATACCATTATATGAGAGTCTGGGTTTTGTTAGGCACATAACTAAATGGCATTCAATATCGTCTGGCAACACGAACTTATTGCACACGGGACACTTGATGCCTGCGAAGAGAAAAGGTAAATATACATATACACATATATATATATATATATAGTTTATTTAGGGATCGTTTTTACCATTGAAGGACCAAATGTGCGATGGTAGCGATGTCGCTGTGTAAACACGACCGATGCCATTCGCAGATGTTGCAGATGCGGCCATTGCGATGCTCTCAACGATATTGGCGCCGGTCATGGACATCTCCTGCACATGGAAAGAAAATAGCTCATTGTTAGAAGAGCGAGAGTCTCTTTGTGTGTGGGCAACTTACGCGTATTGAGTCACCAAAAGCGCGTCGCTGTTGCATGTAGCTTTGTGCGGCAGCCGATGAGCCGTTGTTGTTGCCGGCTGCCACTTGAAAACTATTGCTATTTGAATTAGCTGACACAGAGACTGAGACGGCGGGATGTGTGTGCGGATACGTTGTGGATCCCTGCTGTTGTTGTTGCTGCTGCTGCTGTTGTTGTTGTTGTTGTTGTTGTTGTTGTTGTTGTTGTTGTTGCTGCTGCTGCTGCTGTTGTTGTATATCTGGCACAGAGCTAAGGCTGCGAGCACGCTGTCGATCTATGGACGTGGAGTTCTGCTGATTATGATGATGGTGATAGACCTGTAGACCCGGCAGTGTGCGCAGCAAGTTAAAACCCTGACCGGCATCGCCGCCGCGGCCACCGACCGCTGAACTTTGCGGCGTTGTGTCGGTTGCGGTTGCACCCGTTGAGCTGCTGGAAAATGTTCTGGAGCGTGGGCTCTGCTGGCCGCTGGTCGCTGGTGTGCTTGCCTTTTGACCCATAGAGTTTGAGTTTGACTTTCTCGCACGGCCTCTGCCCCCCACTGGCCCTACGCCCCGCGATTGCTGATCGTTTTGTTATTTAAGCTTGCACTTTTCCACTTGCGCTCTCTATTGCAATTTTCGCTTTCGCTCTCAATGGAGTCACTCTCGCTCTCTCGTTCCGTTGTTTTGTTGCAGTTTTTTTTTTCTTTTCGAGCCGTCGTCTTTGTTTGCTCCTTCGTATTTTGCGCGTGTGTGTAGGTGTTTGCGTGCGTGCGTGTGTGTGTGTGCGTTCACATTTAAGGAAACAAAACAAATGACAGCAGCAGCAGACAACAATAGCAAACAAAGTTGATGTTGTGGATCAGGTTGGTGGGGGGTGGTGGGTCAGCAGCGGTGGCGGCGACGGGCGGCGTTGATAAACGCGGTATATAGATAAGTGTATGAGTGTTTATGTGCCTTGTGCCTTCGCCTGTGCAATGATGATGATAATGATGATGATGATGATGATGATGATTATTTGTAGAGAGGAGTGTATGCGTGTGTGCGTCAGTGTGTGTGTGTGCGGGTGCCAAAAGTGCGGAGCGTAGGGAGGGCGTTAATCGTACGTCGGTCGTCGGTGTCAGTGTCGGTGTTGGTTCTTGGTGTTGGTGTCCGTTGTCGGTGCGTAGTTGACTATTGTTGTTGTTATTTTTATACCGAAAGCCAAAAAATAGTCGTGGACTGTAACTATGCCTAATCCGCTTGATTACCACTCGCAATTTAAATTACTGTTTCCGTTTTCTCTATTTTATTTTTAACATCTCCGTTTTCGTTTTATGTGTACTCTTTGCTTTGCTTTTGACCACCACAATTTATTGGCCGACCACCACAACTAATTATCGCAACGTTTGGTGTTGCACAATGCCAGCAAACATGTCTAGCCGATGGCGATACATAGCCGCACAATCGATTATTACTGAGGGCCACTTGAGTAATAATCGTATCGATGGTGCTGATCTCGTTACTTAGCACATATATATTTGTTTTTTGGTCCAAGTAGATTAACAAAATTGTTAATTGTACGCAAATGAGTATTTGTTTTAATCGTTGTCTCAGCTTGGCGAACCCTTGCCAATTTAAATTTAGTGCCAGACATATTGAAATCGATAGTAAAATATCGAAATATTGGTACGATAGCCATTGATGCTGCCAACCAGCTACGAAATAAAAGGTTTTGTTAATTATGTGTTCGTGTTTGTAAAATCGGAGTTGTTGCAAAAGAAATTACAAATTAATGCGCTGCGGCCACTAAGCGTATCACAGCAAGCGCATTGGAACACTAACAGGCGGCATGAGTTGGTTCGAAAAAGCCAAAACTGTTCTAATTGAGGCACTGGATATCCAAGATGATGACAACAAGGCAACAGATCACGTTGGCAGTGGCATCGCTGGCACTGCGGCGAGCAGCAGCAGCAGTGCAACATCCACGCCCGGCGCCAAGGCAGCAACGCCAAGCACTTTGGCCACTTCAGTAGTAGATGGGGCCACGTTCTATGATAATCCGCATGCCAACGAGATGGTAACTATTCCGCCCAGAGCGAGCGATGCCTCAACGCCAGCCACGGCCAATCTGTTTGCGAAACGGCAGTCAGCCACGTCAGATTCCGTGGACTTGCTATCATCGCCATCGCCCACGTCGCCAACTGGCGCCGACTGTTTACGCAACTCCGAGTCATCATTGGAGCTTATAACAGCGCCGACAACGGCTAGTGAAATGGAAATGAATATGTCGCCCGACACAGAACCATCGCTGCCAGATAGTATAGTCATCATAGCCAGCAATGACACGTCTGACAATGCGGATGGCGATGATGACGATGACGATGAGGATGCTGATAATGGCGATGACGATGATGACGGGGACGATGGGCGACCGCTAAACTTGGATCATGATGATCACTCACTGCATTTGAATGGTAAAATTCACTACTACACATTACTAATTTGTATTCTTATCTCTTTTATTTGAAATCAACGTATTTAATTTTCGAACAAATTCTCGAACATTTCTCAACTCGTTTTGATTATCCTTGCAGATTCTACTAAAACCATGAAGGCATTGGTATTTAGCGACACACAGGCCACTGTTAATGTGGCTGGCGCTGGTGCTGATTCGGATTCCACGCAAAGCTTTGAAGACATCCAGCTTCAGATAAGTCACAAAAGCAAGTCGGCAGGCAGCCCGGCCAGCACCGAGGCATGCCAGCATGGCAGCAAAACGGAGCTGCCCGACCAGAGCTACTCGTCCACATCATCGGACATTGAGATCATTTCGAATCCAAACGGTGATTCCAGCACAAATAGCACTACAACGCGCACCAGTCCCCAAAAGTTCAAAGAGCTGTGCGGCGGGAGTGTTAAGGGCCATGCGCATGGCCTTAAAAGCAAGGGACATCACCGAGAGCCATCGGAGATCTCGCTGCTGTCGGAGGACTCACAGTCTGAACTGGATAAGCTGGTGCATCGCATTAGCGAGCTGAATCAGGTTATTGAGGCGCGAGAGCAGCGTCTGCTGCAATCAGAGCGCCAAAATGCGGAGCTGCTTGAGCGCAACCAGCAGCTGTGCGCCCATGTGGAGGCGGCCAAGAACAGCGCCAATAGCAGCGAAGCCAATGAGGCAGTGCAGCGTCTGTCAGCGCTGGAGAAGAAGTTTCAGGCGAGCATACGCGAACGGGATGCGTTGCGCATACAAATCAAGAGCCTTAAGGACGAGCTGCTCAACAAGATACCCAAGGATGAGCTGACCGAATGCAATGAAATGATCACTGCACTTCAATCCGAGGGCGAGAAACTGTCCAAGGAGATACTGCAGCAGTCGAACATTATCAAAAAGCTGCGCGCCAAGGAGAAGACATCCGATACGCTGCTGAAGAAGAATGGGGAGCAAATTTCACAGCTATCCAGTGAATCGGAGCGCTTGAAAAAATCGCTGGCCGCCAAAGAGGAAATGGAACGCACTCAAATTGAGGCTGTTTGCCGCATGACCAATGAGAAGCGGCGCGTGGATGAGGAAAATGCCGAATGCCGAAGTCGCATCGAGGACTTGCAGTCCAAGTTGGCGGCGCTGCAGGCGAGCTTTGATGGTGTGAAAGGTGACCTGCAGCAGCGCCAGCGGCACGAACAGAACCAAATGCAGGCCGAGAATCAGGAGTACGTGCAGCAGTTGAGTGATATGCGCGAAAAGCTGCGCGTCACCGAGCACAACATGGTCAAGCGGGAGCAGCAGATGCGCGAGGAGAAACGCGATTTACTACGTCGTCTTGAAGCGGCCGAATTGCGTGCCGAGAGCAGTACGCAGGAGCTGAGCGTCTCGACGACGCCGCTCATACGGCAAATCGAGTCGCTGCAGAAGACGCTGAATCAGCGCACCGCCAGCTGGAACAAGGATGAGCAGCAGCTGCTGCAAAAACTGGAGGATGCGCAGTCTCAGTTGCATTCGCTACAGCAGCTCGAAACAGTGCAGCAAGAAAAACTGGAGCTGTTGCGCACACGCTGCGACCTGCTCGAGGAGAAGTTAGCCAATGCGCTCATGCAGTCGGAGAGTGCAAAAATACAGCTTCGTCAGCAGGAGCTGGATGCTACAATCAAAGAAAACGACTACAAAAGGTGCGAGCACACAATTAACCTTATCCATAATGTCATACGGCTAGCCTGAATCCGCTTTTGGTTTCCCTCTGTCTAGCCAGTTAAGCACACTCCAGGCGCAACTGAAGCAGCGCCAGGACAAGCTGGAACAATTGGCCGAACAGTGCCAGCAGCTGGAGGCTGACCTGCGGAAACTGCACGCCTTTCAGCGGAGCAGCGAGCTAACCGTGGAGGCAGTCAAGGCCAGCAGCGAGCTGTCGGAGAACCGCTGCCAGAAGCCGCTGCACGTCTCGCCGCCGCTCAGCCTGGCCGATGAGAGCGGCTCCAATGAGGATACACTGGGCGGAATTATTGACTGGCAGGGCGTAAGCAAATCAATTTAGTTCACATAAATAAAATTGTAAACTAAATTTGAAACCATGTTAATGTAATGTTCGCCAACAGGATGATTTGGAATGTGCATCCAATAGTGGACGACAGCAGTCGGGCATGATTCAGGGCGTGCATTTGAGCTTTTTGGCCGGCAACACCACAACGCTGGAGCATCTGCAGGCGCTGCTCAAGCAGCGCGATGGCGAATTAACGCATCTGCAGTGGGAACTGTCGCGTCTGCAGGCGGAACGCGGCGTGCTGGACAATGAAATATCAAATTTGACGATGGAAATGGAGATGGTTAGTACAAGTGCCAGGTGCACAAATATTGTTGCTATCAATAAAAATTCTCTGTTGCTTGCAGTTGAAGGAGAAAGTGCAATCATACGAGGCCATGGAGAAATGCTATGAGGATCTGCAGCATCGCTACGATGCGCTGTTGCAGATGTACGGCGAGAAGGTTGAGCGGACCGAGGAGCTGGAACTGGATCTGGTAGAGCTAAAGCAGGCGTATAAAATACAAATCGACGAGCTGCTCGCAGCGCCGCCACCAAATCTGCAGCGAACGCCCAAGCACACATGATTGCCGTCCCTGGCATGGCTGAGACGTACCTAACAGCCGGCAATCCAGTCGGATCTACTTCTCTCCCTAAACAAACTGCAATGTATTATGCTTTCCTTCGGGCATTACTTAACGAAGCTGTTTTTTTCCATTCCTTTTGCTTATTTATGTATGTCACCTAACAAACAACAAGATATTCCTGCCCCACTACGCCACACAGCTACCCCATCCAAATAATTATATATGCATAATGGTCATATTAACATACAAGTAAATATAATTTGCGTGTTAAAATTTCTAGTTATATTATGAATATGGATCGATTGTGATAATTTTTATTTATACTTATGCATATAGATATTAAAGAAATAATTCTTAGATAATTGCTTATAATGTACGTTTTTTTCGGTACGTTTTAGCCGCAAACGAGGTATTTGAAAAGAAGATAAAGCTGCGCTCTTTGGTGTGCCGAAGATTAAATAGCATTGTAAAGTAACTATATATTTATATACTTAGCCTAGAGTATATATATGATATAGTTTTAATATACTTTAAAAACACATGGCTATATCAACTCTGCTGCTAACATTGATCAAGTATACATACAAATATATGACATCATTATAATAGTCTCTGCAAAGCTATTATAATGAAAGTTCTTATTGATACCAACAAAAAAAAAAACAACAAATATAGTATAAATAACATTGATCAACACACATAAAAACAAACGTCGTATAAGGTGTGGAAAGTATCGTTAAACGATTCTGAATATAGCTATAATACATTAAAACAGTTTCCTAGTTGGCACCCACAACTTAATAACCTTTCTTATCACCAATTTTCAGGAGCCTGTTAGGATTGTATTGGCAGCCTTGGCTAGTGGAAAAACAGGCTTAGCAACATTTCCGGTACTGCGCGTCATATAGCCACAGTTGTTCTTCAGATCATCCGTGTTCAGGGAGAAGATCATTAGTCCGCCCACGTTCAAGGATTTGACATACTTTGCTTTGCATGCAATGCTCTTCGTGCTCTCATATGAGATCCATTCCTGCAGCGAATTCAGATAGGGAGAACAGGTGTAATTGTCGTATGTGTAGTTTGGCGCCAGGTAACTTTTGGCGCACTCGCAGGTCTCCGAGAGCGTGGTGAAACCCAATCGGCCACACTTGCCAAAGCCCGAGGCGGGTGCTCCTATGCGCGCGTTCAATGGACTTACAAGCCTGTCAAAATTTGGGTTTTAATAATTACACTGAAGACTACATCAAAGGACAATGTTATGCTCACGTAAAGGAATGCCCGTAGGTGGGCAGGCCAATGACCAAACGCTTGGGCTCCAATCCATTTTGCAACCACCAGTGCACGGTGTAATTGATGTTGAAGGTGCCCATGATGGAATGCTCCATGGGACGGGCAAAGAGCGGCGCATTTAGACCGGTGAAGGGTGTGTCCTCGCGATAGAAATGAAAATCATAGGTCATCAGATTCACATAGTCCACGTAAAGATTGATTTCGCGTATGTTGTAGGCAAAGAATGCGATGCCTTCGGGCGCTGCCACGGCCATGGTGAGCAGATTGTTGGTGCGTTGTTCGCGGCGCCATTCCAGCCGAATCTCATGCAGCAACTGGGAGAAGTGCACACGTTCCTTGTTGTAGGCGCTCGGAAACTCCCAATCCAGATCGATGCCATCCAAGCTGGGATATTTGTGTAGCACTGCTCTTAGTGAGCGCAAGAATTGTTTGCGGCGTTCATGATTCGCGACCATGTCTGCAAACTGAGGCCCAGTGTCGGCCCCGCCAATCCAGAGCAATAGATGCACCTGCGGATGGGCGGCACGAAATAGGCGAGTCTCATTCTGCAGCACTTGCTCCAGGCGCGGCGACAAATGCAGCGTCCTGTTGAACAAGTTGGCAATTCCAATATTGATGTGCGTGCACAAATCCCCGGGGACATCCAACAGGTTCAATTTATCGAATCCTGAAGTCGAATAATAGCAAACAAGCCGTTGTTTTTGTTGCCTTAGCCGTTGTTGTTGTTGTTGTTGCTCAACATTTTGATTAATCGTTGGAAAACAAAGAGGAAGTACGCTGATGCATATAAATACGATAATTGCAAACACCAGAATGTAACGGACCATTAGCACACGCCTTCTTAGCCTTTGCGCCTCTGCATTAGCGTTTGCTTTTTGCAGCAGATCACTTTGTAGCTCGATATAATTAACCATTGTTTTTATTGCTGCCACAAATGAAAACGAAGTAGAGTTGTTTGGATTGGTTTAAAAGCCAGTGTAATCAAAACAAAAAAAAGGGAAGAAAATTATCGATAGCATGCGAATTCCATCGATAGTGCGAGATTGGCGATATGTGCATGTGGTTGCAACTCTGTTCGCATGTGCATATGCGTATTTGGGTAAAATAAATTTCTGTCGTTTGTGCTGCAATTTCTATGCTCGCGTGTATTTTTTTTTTGCAAATTTAAAAACGAAAAAAAATGCAAATGTTGCGCGTAAACAATAAATAGCTGCTGTTGCTGTACAATACTTTAAAATACAATTACAGTGTGTGAGTGTCAGCCTTAATGTTTGTATAATTTGCCCATTGTTTTCCCCTGTGTATGTATGAGTGTGTGCCCGATGTGTTGCTGCTGTTGTTTTCGTTGTTGTCGCCTCGCTTGCGGTGCAAAACAAAACACACCCAAATGACTGGCCAGCCATAAAGGCAACAAACGCAACGAACACCCTAATGCGCAGCCTAGGGTGGTGCAAACCGGCGAAAAGCAGAAACTGCTTGCCTTTTTTTCTATTAGGTTTTATTATATATATATATATATATATATATATATGTATATGTATATTTTTTTGGTGGATTCACGCCCATTTGCATATGCACAGCTGTGTGCACGAACCTATTTGTATCTGTTTGTCTCTGCTGAATGACTCACTAGATAAATGTTACTCTACCCACATTATAAAAAAAATTGCCGGTTCGACTTTGGCACCTTGCAGTTTGTGTTTCTGTCCGTTGTGCGCGCGTGTGTGTGCGTGTGTGTGAGAGTGTGAGTGTGTGTGCGCTTATCTGGCGCAGCTTATACACCTCCCCTCCCTCCGCCCATTCCGGTTAACCGGAGCCGAGCAACAGCCACAAGCAACAAGAACTTGGAGTCTCATTCTTTGGCTTGTTAAAAATGGTAACTAACCTGCTTTTTTTGTTTTTGTTTTGTTATTGTTGTTGCAGCAGGTTCAGCAACAGGGTTCAGCTGTATGAGAACCATGACAAAAGACTACGATTATCTGTTAAAGGTGCTTCTGGTGGGGGACAGCGATGTGGGTAAACATGAAATACTCTCCAATCTTGAGGATCCCTCAACCGAGAGCCCCTTCTGCAGCGGCAATGGTAAGTGGTTGGCTTAATATAATATTATGCATCCATCATATACCAACTCATATATAGATTGCACCTCTCACATATTGCAAACGGTAGCATACAAAACGACAACAATATTGCTGGAGGGCAAGCGGGTCAAGCTACAGATTTGGGATACCTCCGGCCAGGGGCGTTTCTGCACCATAATACGCTCGTATTCGCGCGGCGCCCAGGGTATTATATTAGTGTATGATATAACAAATAAATGGAGCTTCGACGGCATCGATCGCTGGCTCAAAGAAGTCGAGGAGGTGAGTACCGCAAATGGAACGAATTTTACGAAAATACATCATAAATCTATTTGTAGCATGCGCCCGGCATACCCAAAGTGCTTGTAGGCAATCGCTTGCATTTGGCCTACAAACGTCAGGTGGCCGCCAAACAGGCGGAGACCTACGCATCGCGCAATAATATGTCCTGCTTTGAGATATCACCACTCTGCGATTTCAATATTCGTGAATCTTTCTGCGAATTGGCGCGCATGGCGCTGCATCGCAATGGCATGGAGCACATTTGGCGCAGCAACAAGGGTAAGGCTGCCCTCATGCCCAATCAATAGTTAATTATTTAATTCGTATTTATGTATATTCATTTATAGTGCTGTCGCTGCAGGAGCTCTGCTGTCGGACAATTGTGCGTCGCACAAGTGTTTATGCTATAGATTCGTTGCACCTGCCGCCCTCCGTTAAATCGACACTCAAGTCGTATGCCATGACGACGTCACAGTGCTACAATTCGTTAACGCAAAACTCAAAGAGCCGGAATCGCTGCAAGACGCCAACCAGCCACAGTCGCAACAGTTGTGCGATCGCGTGATTGCTGGCTTGTAGGTGGTTTCTGGAACTGCCTACGCAACAGCTGCGCAATTGCGCATAAATCTACAACCTACTTTACTTCCTAAGCTTCAACATATGTACACACAAAAACACACACACTCATACACTCACACCGTAACATGCGCGAGTATTTTCTTCAATACAAATATGTCATCAGCATTAATATTTATTATCGTATGAGAGCGATGGTTATATTTTTACATCCTATACATAGTAATTATTATAAAAATGCTATATATGTATGTAATGATTATATACATATGTATACTATACGATATACATATATATATATTTTTTTTATTTTTTATAATGATTACCATTATCACTAAATTTAATAACGCATAATTGTAATGTTGTTAATATTATTATTATATTTGTATAATCTAATACGCTGGATATAGTATGCACTGATACAAGGTATTCCTTCTCTATTTTTTTTTTTAATTTTCATTTTTGTTAACAATTAATAATATTCGTAGAAATTTATGTAATTAAAAGAAGGCGTTGGAACAAACGAATTGCTAAGATGATGATTATAATAATGATGATACTGATGATGATGATGATAAACATGAAAAACAACTAAAACTATAAACCATATGCGCTATCTTTGTCTTTGCTAGCAATCCATCTCATTCTATTTCAGTACAATACGCGCGAACAAAGTGAAAGTTCGGTTGATGTGATACAAATATAATTATGGAATACTTTGTATTATTATATGACATTATGTGCATCTGTTGCACATAATTGTATCTATTTTGCCATATTGATGGCGGTCTATCAATACTTATTTAAAATAGTTGGTGTCATATTATGTTAAACAAATTATTGAGTAACCCTTTTATAACACTTTTTACTTTAGGTTTTTGATTTTCTATTGCAATTCTTTTTCGCTTTAGTTGTGAAATCGGGATTAGTTTTTGCAATTTTTTGTTGAAAGTAAAAATTTAGAAAAATGATAAATTTTATATTAAGCACACAATGCTTAGACTAACTTGACACTGTATTGTAAGATCTACACGCTAAGTCCAGAAATTGAGAGCATAAAAGTATCTGATAGACATTGGAAAGCCACGAAGATCTTGTAAGTTTAAGCTTATGATCTCTTCAACCGAGTCGATCTCACCAATGCAAACAACATTTGTGCTAGAGTAATAGAATAGATTCTCGTATGTATTATGACGTTCTGAATTGCTTCAGAGTTTGGTGTGAAAATATATATCAAGTGCAGTCACACCTTAAAACATATCGTCAAAAATTATTAAATTCAATTATAAAATGTAATTCACATTATAAAGCTTTATAGCTTAATAGCACTGCCTACAATAGCCTTTGGTTAACACAATGCACTAACCAGGGATTTGAACCCGCATCCTTTTTAGCTGCCAGTTAGACAACTCAGCTACCCGATAACTGCCAAAAACTTGCCAAAATATTGAACATTTTGGGCACGAATTAATAAAACAATCGTTTGTCATACACTATTTTGTCGAAAATGTTTATTATATATTCTTACAATTCTACAAATATAATCTGTACCAAACAAAAAAGAGCTGGATCCATTAAATTGGGTACATCTGAGTTATATTATGGCGCACACATTTATTCCTCTACAAAAAATTCAGTTAATTAATTATACATTTTTGTTTGTTTAAACTAAATACCAACCTTTAACCTTCCCAGCAACTGCATATATCAGCTGCCAAAAAGGGTGTCATCTGCAGAGTTTTTTAATTTTGAATTTTTGATAGGTGTGCAGCATGCTTCACACATTTGTTGATTGATTTGCCTAATGAAAAGCCAATTAAATATTGTTATGCTATTGAAATGCATAAATTGATTTTTCTTTTTCTTATGCGGAATGCAAAAAAAAAAAAAAAATAAATAAATAAATAAAAAGAGCGTGCGATTTCATTTTTAATGGCTATTTAAAATTCGCAAAGACTTTTACACAATCACAAGCGAAGACCATGTTGGTCAATCTACAAAATTTGACATGATTTCCATTTGATACCAAAACCAGCTAAAAGCAACAATAAAAACTAAAACCAGATAAAATAAAGTGAATGAAAAAACTTGGCTATGGGCGTTATAGATTTAACAAATCAGGGAGAGCTCAATGAAAGATACATAAAAACAGCTTCGAAACAAAAAGAAATAAACATAAAACAATAAACAGATGCAAACATTAACATAAATTTAATGTTTTGTATTTTTCTGTTTTTTTTTGTTTTTGTTTTTTGGGGTTTTTTGTATATTTTTGTTGCCTTGCCATTTCTCCCTTTTAAGTTATTGCAAATTAAACTAATACTATTATAGTTTACAAGTAGTTGAAAGCGTTTGTTTAACATTGAGAGCAGCTTTAAGACTTTTTAGCAGCTTTTAAGCTGAGAAGCCTTAAAAGAGCACGAAAGTGCTCGCAGCAAAGCTTTTGTTTGAGACATGTCCGAAGCTTTAAAGCCGTTGACCAGCTTTAAGAACAGTTGAGAAGCTTTCAGCATAAAATAAAGCGAAAGTAATATCAACGGAAAGCTTAGCATAAGCTTAAAGCTTACATAATGCAGATTGAACTTCGAACTGAGTAGTTTGTTAGGCCCATATATCTGGTGATCTTTAATAGGGTCATAGAAAGTGATGGATTCGAAGTAAATGCTGCCGAGGTCAGGCAATGACATGACCTACCTTTGATAATCGCACCGGTTTGTCTATGCCTGATGCTTGGGTTTATTTCTCTCTTTTCTTTTGGAAATGCTGGTCAACGGGTTTTTTTGTGTCTCATTTGAATTTTTTAGCAATTTACTGCTCCACAACGCATAGACCCCTCCACGCCGCTCAACTGTACCGTAAAGTCCAAATTGGGGGGCCTGCGCATCGATGACGAAAGCAAAACAGCAGCGCTGTCCGCTTCAGGCGAAAGCCGCAACAACGGCGCATTGGGCAAGGCCCCGGACGCATCAGCATAATCGTTTTGCCGGCGTATATAAGCGGGCAGCTGCTTGCAGCTGGTCATCAGTCGCCTCTTCGGTTTCCCTTCTTCAGCTACGTGAAGTTCCACAGATTTCGCCCCAAGCAAGAAACTTCCAGCAATGAAGGTAAGCAGCCAAACGTCGCCCAGCCGGGTTCAATTCTAATGCTCAAATTTCTTCAACAGATCTTTGTGTGTTTGTTCGCCGCACTTGTTGCCACCAGCTCCGCAGGCATCATTGGTGGTGGTGGTGGTGGTGGCGGCGGCGGTGGTGGAGGTTACAGTTATGGCATCGGCAGCGACGGCGGCGGCGGTGGTGGTCATGGCCATGGACATACTGAGGTGCGCACCGTCAAGGTCATTCACGAAGGCAGCTATGGTGGTCATGGCGGTGGTCATGGCGGCGGTTATGGCGGCGGTTATGGCGGCGGTTATGGCGGTGGTCATGGTCATGGCGGTCACGAGGTGAAGACCATCAAAGTTGTTCACCAGGAAGCACCAGCTTATCATGGCCATGGTGGCCATCATCAGGAGGTGAAAACCATTAAAGTCATCCACCAGGAAGCGCCAGCTGTTCATCACAGCTTTGGTGGTCACCAGGAGGTCAAGACTGTGAAGGTTATTCATCAGGATGGCGGCTATGCTTTGGGCGGCGGCGGTTACACCGGCGGATTCTCTCATGGTGGTGGACACGATATTGGCCATGCCCACCAAGAGGTCAAGACCGTTAAAGTTATTCACGAGGAGGCACCAGTTGCTCATCACAGCTTCGGCGGTCACCAGGAGGTCAAGACTGTGAAAGTCATTCACGAGGATGGCGGCTATGCTCTGGGCGGCGGTGGTGGCTACACTGGTGGCTTCTCCCACGGCGGTGGCGACATTGGCTACGGTGGCGGTCATGCCCACCAAGAAGTGAAAACCGTTAAGGTTATTCATGAGGAGGCTCCAGCGGCTCATCATGACTTCTCGCACGGAGGCGGCCACCAGGAGGTTAAGACTGTCAAGGTTATTCATGAGAATGGCGGCTATGCTTTGGGCGGCGGTGGCGGCTATGCCGGTGGCTACTCCCATGGCGGCGATCATGTCCATGAGGAGGTGAAGACCGTCAATGTCATCCACGAAGAAGTCGCCCCAGCGCCCGTTGCCGCCCACAACGAGTACCTGCCCCCAGCTGTCTCAGCTCCCCAGCCCGGTTACCTGCCCCCCGTCGGTGGCTGGAAGTAATCCCCTCAACTGTGCCCAGTTGTTCTGTGATTTGAACTGTGTCATGACTGTGACCTCCTTTGTTAAATAGTTTTAGTAGCCCCTTGCCCCATTTTTTTTTTTTTGATAATATCCATTAGTTCTTTAAGCGTGAAACATTTTTTTTCTGTTGAAAAATAAATACCTATTCAGAGATTAAACAATATTAATTTCAATGTTTTCTAGTTATATTGCAGCACTATTTGAAAAAAATGTAACTCAATGAAATCTCACTTTATCAATTATCCATTTCCCAAATATTAATTCATTTTATAGCATCCTAATCTCTCTATATAACCCATCCGGGTTAAAGCTTTTATAAACGAAAGTTTATTTCTCGACTTCAAGATTGTCAGCATCAGACTAACATGGACGTAAACAGTTGATTCCAGCTTTTGTTTCTGAATTCGATAGATTTGAAACTTATTTTTAATTATCTTTGTGAAATTTAGCACAAGACTTCAAGTTCTATATAGTACGATTAAATTTAAGTTTTTTACGGAAGGGAACTAGCTGAAAAAGTTATATTTACAATTTTAAGCATGTGTATTTATGTATGCATGTATGTGAGTGTGTGTGTGTGTGTGAGTGCGTGTGTGTGTGTGTGTGTGTGTGCGCGTGTGTGTGTGCGTGTGAGTGTGTGTGTGTGTGTGTGTGTGTGTCTGTGTGTGTGTGCGTGTGTGTGTGTGCGTGTGTGTGTGTGTGTGCGTGTGTGTGTGTGCGTGTGTGTGTGTGTGTGTGTGTGTAATGTAAGTTTGTATGTTTGTATGTCTTAGTTTATGTGTATATACATATGTATATGTGTGTGTCTGTATGTATGTATGTATGCATGCATTTATGTATGTGGGTTTATATGTATGAAAGTATGTGAATATATATGTATGATTGTATGAATGTGTGTATGCATGTTTATGTGTATGTATATATGTATACATGTATACATGAGTGTATGCATTGATGTATGCACTTATTTACGAGTCATGTAGTATGTATATATTCATGTATGTATGTAAGTGCGTATGTTTATACATGAATGCATACATCTTATATGAATGTACGTAAGTATATAAGAGTTTAGGTATGGTTGTATGTATATATTCATTTGTGTTTGCATTTATATATGTACGTATTATGTATGCATCTATATATATATATATATATATATATATTGTATGGATATCGTATGGATGTATGGATATCGTTTGTATGTTTATATGCATGACCAAGTTTACCGCTAGCTGCGCTGCAAAAAAAAACAAAATTCATTTTTCATAAATGCCCTTCTACTCGATTCTCATAAATTCAATTAAGCCTCAATAAGCCATAGACTTAAAAATCGCAGGAGGCGGCTTGAGCAAAGCAGGAGTCGGCGGCTTCAACTATATAGGAGTCGGCAGATTGGGCACAGGAGGAGACTGCAGCTTGAGTAAAGCAGGAGGCGGCGGCTTCAACTAGATAAGAGTCGGCAGCTTGGGCAAAGCAGGAGGCGGCGGCAGTACTATTACAGGAGTCTGCAACTTAAGCAAAGGAGGAATCTGCGGCTAGCACAAAGCAGTGAGGAACGCAGGAGGCGGCGGCTTTAACTATATAGGAGTCGGCAGATTGGGCACAGGAGGAGACTGCAGCGTGGGCAACGCAGGAGGCGGCGGCTTCAACCATGGAGAAGGCGGCAGCTTGAGCATAGCAGGAGACTGCAGCTTAAGCAAAGCAGGAGGCGGCGGCTTCAACTAGATAAGAGTCGGCAGCTTGGGCAAAGCAGGAGGCGGCGGCAGTACTATTACAGGAGAGTGCAACATAAGCAAAGCAGGAGGCGGCGGCATCAACTATTGGGGAGTCGGAAGGAAGCGGATTTAATATTAGAGGAAGTGGCAGCTTGAACAAAGGTACGTATTGGCAATACAACTATCTCGTATTATGTATATATGTATGTATATGCATGCAGAAATTTGTACGTATGTTGAGCTGATGAGTAAAAAAAATATTTACAAATATTGCTCTACTACGCGATTCTCACAATTTCAAGTAGAGTTTAGCCATCAAACTGCGTTTTAAAGCTAATAAAAACATTATCTTTGCTTTTTTCTTCTTTCAGTGATGTGTTTATATAAAAGTTCGTCTCCCGCCCACTAATAGATGACGATGAATATAATCGAGCGTATGAGTTTACAGGTGAGTACGTAATTACAAATATATATTTATATAAATAAGAATATATTTTACATATAGGTAAAAAAAAAGTTGATGCTATCGTTTATAGCGTCTACGAACTCATAAGTTAATTATATATTATTGTCTGTGTTTGTAACTCCGCTCGTCTGTCTTTAGAATATATGAATGAGTTAATTTCAGAGACTATAATAGTCACAGACCTCAAATTTTGAAGCTCGTATGGCCTATAGTAAGAGCTAGAGACACCCGATTATTATTTATTAACTTTTTTTGGGCACCTTCGCCCTACCACCACAATTTATGTGTCACACTTATTCCTTGAACATTTTATTAGGATCGAACAATAAACACCAAGGTTGTTCAAGAACGCATCCTCTATACTGTCAGGATAAGGGAAGAAGAAACACAGCTGGCGTTTTCCTGTTTATATGTACATATATCCAGAGGAAAGTTTGAATTCGTGTAACGGCAGCTAGATGACTTTGACTTTTTGCTTTGTTTTTGATAACTCCAGACTTTATTTATAATATTTAATTTTTGGCACCCCGCAGAGAATGGGCCGTTCTCTCTGTCTATTGTTTTGAAACCTTACACATTTCATCACACGCCATCAATTTAGGGATCGCATTAGAGCAAACTAATAAATGAGCCGCACTTAACTCACAGTTACTTATTAATCATCAGCTCATTGATATTCATGTTTTACTCAGGTTTCACGTTCATTATTCAATTATTATAATTCCCAATGGGTTTAAAGCGCAGCAGCTGCATATGTTGATAAGTGCAACTGGTTTTGGTTTGTTGTTGTCATCTGTCGGCTTGGAGCTCATCAGGCAGCCCATTACCATACGCCTAATGAGCTAAACGAGCTGATTAATAGGCCTATTCACGATTTCTTCTTCTTTAGTAAAATGTATTTGCCGTTTGTGGTTGTGAGTGTGTGCGTGTGTGCTGGTGCGTGTGGTTAACAATAAATGTATGTGTGTAAAAATAAGTTAAAGATGTATAATTAAAGATGTGGGCTCTTGGGCTCGCGCCAGGTTATTACTTGTAGATCCAATCTTGTCGAGCGCCAAACATGCGTTGCTGCTGCGTCATTGTTGCCGCCTGCTCCACGCTGTTGCTGCTCAGGTATTGATGCAGCGGCAGTGGGCGCGGCGAGGATGATGTTATCAATGGTGCGGCAGTTGTGGGTCGCCACTTCGATGGTCGCCAGGGCGTGCCGCTGTCCGGGCCGATGCTGTTGCTCGCGGTGTCGCTGTGCACGCGCAGATTGAGCAGCAGCTCGCCATCGTCATCGATTAGATTGTACATTTGGATGCCCGCATCCGCATCGCTGTGGCCGCGCATATGGGCGCGCTCCAGGCGCACCTGTTGCTTGACCTTTGGCTTGGATTTCCTTCGCGCCGGCGGTTGGGGCAGCAGGCGCGAGGCACGCTCCTGTGCCTGCAGCTGACGCAATATGCCCAGCGGCAGCACCAGATCCGATTCAAATGGCAGAAAGCCGCTCGTCCGCACCTTGATTATGTTGCGCCGCATCGGCCCCAATGCGTACACCAATTGCCAGCTGCAGATCAACAGCAGCTGCAGTCGCAGCACAGCTGCCAGTGTTGGAAGGATCAGTTGCATGCCTAAGCACTGATTGGGCACATGTTCACCAATATTGCTCTCTTTTACAACACTTGTTTGCTTTTCAATAGCGCGTGTTTTTTATTTCAATTTCAATTTGCACTTGAGCACGCCCACATTAAAAAAATTATATGATACACAAAAATAATTATGGCAATTCCGTGTGGAGCTTATGGAGCTAACCAGCTCATTCTAGGCTGGTATTGCACCAACTGACTTTGGCCAAGCGACGCACTGGGCCACAGACCGTCAGAGAGCACAGCTCACACACTTATCACACACACACACTTACACACACACACACTTACACACACTCACATACACTTACAAATGAATTAATTAGAGAAAATTCCGACGCACGCTTTTTTGAAACGGTCAGCCGCGCACAGTGGTTCACTATTGTGAAATACAATTTTCCAGCAAAAGCTTCGGTTTTGTATTCTATGCAATACAATTGTTTATTAAAATGCAATGTCATTTACTTACAGATAAGCTTTAAATGCAACTGCAACGTGAATGCTGTTTTCATTTAGCTTACCAACATTTTTCAGTGTTGTCAAACGTTAAATAGATAAAAATCTCTCTCATTTTAAATGAACAATTTTATATAATTTATCTTAAATTGCCCGTTCTACTGAAAATATTCTAAGCCGTAGATATTTTCAAAAGGAAGTTGCGGGCTACATTTATTGATCAGCCAAATTTTGTATTTACCCAATATGGTAATATGCATTCAATGGTAAGATCTTGTTTGGAAAAATACTCGGTCCTTCCAAGTTATTTTGACCAAACTTAACTATCAATAGCTTCACTTTTCCCCTCACAAGCCTTGAAGGCCGTAAGCCTTATGTCTATAGCAGTATTTCAACTCCTTTCAAATTAGTCGACCTTAAGAGAGTCAACTGAGCCTTTAAATGGATTAGTTGGATAAAGCGAAGTCGACTCCTGAAGTGAATAATTAAATGAATTAGTTTATAATAAATTGAATTTTTATGAAATTTAACCGTTCCAGAGATAAAAGTAAATCACCTAAGATCAGATAAGGACTCATGAATATGAAAAATTAGCTTAACGAACCGAACCTTAGGCCGAGTTGTATCCAAGAGCTTCATTTTGAGCCCAACAATTCGTTCAGTTCTTGTCAAGCATTGAACCACTGTGCATTAAATGCTTTCAGCTTTGAAATGAAAATAAAAACATAACTGCTCTGTTGATGGTTGTTGTTGTTGTTATTGTTGTTGTTGTTGTTGCATAGTAATTGTTGTTAGTTGTCAGTTGTTGGTAACATTTAATTTCTACTATCACTTTTATGACTTGTATGTGTTAGTTTAGGTTAATAAATGATTTATGCTACAGTTAACAAGAATAATTCTCTTAATGTTAGCCAGGCGCTGCTTTTGTTTCTCCAGCGCCGGCTTCAGAGCTGGCTCACAACTGGTTGGGGTCATAAATGCCCTGCTACCGTCCACAGAGGGCTCCCGCTCCGGCTCAGGCTGGCCGGCTGGCCGGCTGAAGCCCGCTTTGAACCTGTAGCTCACTGGGCCACTCTCGCTGAAATTGTCGGGCTGTCAGTGTGTCACATGTTGGCCCATTTGGCCGCAGCTCATTTGCATGAAAATGTTGTAGTAGCTGTTCCAGATAACAATACTTTATGCAAATCGCCAAACGGAAAAGCGTCCACCGATCACCGAACACGGCTCACAATAGTTGGGCATTTTCCCCAGCTTCGCCTGGGGTTGTGGTACAGTGAACTCCCTCCAAAAGGCCAACACTCTCGCTTGCCGGCGATGTTTACGTCCATTTCCATTTCCATTAACATTTCTAACGGCCTGCCCCACTATTAATTGGTAAATGTTATGTATGTAAACATATCAACATAATGCATTCAGAGTGCACACACAGCCGGTTCGGATGAACTTTACGACTTTAACAACTTCACAAAATGCACTTCCGCCGGGTACTTCCATTTCGATGTTCAATTTGTTTCTGATTGAATTTTAAGTACTAAAAAGGCCAAGGCGAAAGAGAAATTTCGACCTATGTCTATATTGGATATTTGAGGGTACCATTTGAACATGCATTTTGACCAAGATTAATGTTGCCAGATTGATCAAGAGGCCAAACCTTGAACAAAGAGGCAAAGGTCGTGGAAATCGGCTGGGAAATTTCTCAGATGACTGCGCTTTCTGCTAGAAATATTCACATACTTTTTGTTCATTTTTATTTTATCATTATGCATATACAAACGAGTACATACGTAGACTTTGGTATAGAGCTATATTGAAAAAAAAAGTTTGATTATAATATTTATGTAATATGTAAACAGATATGTATATAAATATATATAGTTGATATATATATATATATATATATAGATAGATATATATCGTGCAATATATATATATATATATATATATATATATATATATATATATATGTATATAGTATATACAGTTATGCTCTTATATGTATGTTTATTTATCACTAATTGACTATCATTATAAACGTATTCGTAACTGTGTAATTGCCATAGCCAAAAGCAACTCCAAATAGAAATATGTTTTTGCTTTAAATCAATTTCAAAAACTTCTAGATACGATTTCTGCCCTGTCTATATATTATGTGCGTTCCACTGAAATCACATTTGGCTCAGCTTTACTCAACTAGGAATATGCACATTGATACATTTACGTAAGCCTAGTTCAATTATAATGTATTCATATGCATATCGAGAAATATTAATGCATAAATTGACAAAAAAAAAAACTTTTTATACACTTAGACAAAAAAATAATGATATAATCATATAATAGATATATATACATACATATACAAATACTGTTGCTCTAATAAGTAATTTGGGATATGGTTTTGGGGTTAGGATTAAATATAATATATATATATATATATATTATAGAAATATGCTAATGATATATGGTATATGCCCAGCACATTGCCCAAGGAGCACATCAATGTACTCGAGATATACGTGTGTATCTAGTCCAAAGTGATGTGCGGATTTGTATAGGTGAAGCCATGGAACTGTTTCTGATCCATGGATGCGAGTATTTCCTTATCGATGGGCGTTAAGCGTACGCGTTCTCTGGTGAATACACGATCGAAATATTGCGTATCCAGTGGATGTTTCTGTGAAATGAAAGCAGAGTTGATTATGATCCACATACAAATCGGTAACGGGTGAGTATTTACCACTTGGGGCTTGAAGGGCGGCTCAATTTGCCTCTTCTCGAGCAGATTCCAATCAATGGGCCTGAAGAATAAATGATCTGCTATATCACCAGCTGGACTATATTGGGAGCCAATGCGTTTCGTATAATCCTTTTCCAGCAGCTAAAGAGAGAGTTAGATCATAATAAAATTATTTTGATAATATTATAGCCGCCCACTTACGCCCTTGAGGATGCCCGTTGCCTCGGCTGATATGTAGACGGGAAACCATGGAATCTCATTGCATATCGACCAGAAGAGCTCATCCTCATCGCAGCCGCTGAACGGAGATTGACCGATAAGCATTTCGTAGAGCAGCACACCAAAGGACCACCAATCGACATTCTGATTGTACTTTTCACCCTGTCAAGCGAAATGCCAGATTATCGTTTTTGTTGTTGTCGTGCAATCGATATTGATAGATTACCTTGATAATTTCGGGCGCCATGTAATCGGGTGTGCCGCAAAAACTATCGGCCGTCTTATCCAAATATATTTGCAATTTGCACATGCCAAAATCGGCAATACGCACATGACCCTCATAGTCTAGCAATACGTTATCCAATTTGAGATCCCTTTAGAAATGTGAACGGTCTATTTGCACTCGTTTCTTTTAATAGTATTAGTGGAAGGCTCACCTGTATATAATGCCCTTTTTGTGGAGAAACTTGAGCCCGGATATAATTTCAGCGCCATAGAAACGCGCACGCTCCTCCGAAAAACGTCCACTCTCCTGTATATGAAACATTAGATCTCCGCCATTTAAATATTCCATCACAAAGAACAGGTGGCTCTGCAAAGAGAGAGGGACAGGAAGAGATATTTGTAGAGATCTCGAGAAATATATACATATATAATATAGAACAAAGATTTGTGGCTGCAAACCGGACTTGAAGCAACCCGATTTATGGCGGGGTTCAAATTTATTATTTACCAAAAAACTGAATCTTTATTTGGATAAGTTAGAGAAACCTGAACCGGAACATTTTTATATTAAACTGGTTCCTATTTAAAAAATATAAGTTCTTAAGAAATTTGATGAACCAAGTTCGAATCTTAGCCTGAATTGGCAAGTATATATATATATATATATTTTATTTTTTTTTTATAAAAAGTGGTCAATGGGGATTTCCTCATTCATCGGTTTTAACTTATTTTCAACAATTATAAGATTTAGCTAAACGGATTTGATCAGAAATATTTATTATATTCTACTGGCTTCCTTCTGGACTGCTTTTTTGCTTAGTTTTTTCGGCTTTGATTCCATTTATTCTTTACATTTTCATAGACAATTAACTCAAATGTGTGGATATTTTTTCTGAGTGTAGCTAAGGTGAGCATCAGCTCAAGCAATGGAGAGAGCAAAACAGATCGTGAGTCCCCCAAAATAAATGGGCGTGTATCCTCAAAGTCATAAATAATTAAAATACCTTCTAATCGGTGTCAATGCAAGCAAAGAAAACTTATTGTTTTCTTTTTTTACCTATTTTTTTTTTTGGTTTCTTAGTTTTTTATTTTTCTATATATTTGTTTGTTTTGTTGGTCAAAATGTTCAGAGAACATTGTCGAACGCTGTGCCGGACGTGCGTGCCAATTAACGTGGTTCTCGAGCGGTGGGGATCGGGCGAGCACTTGCCATGTCGTGTGCCCCAATCGATGGTCAGCATAGAGAAGCACACACACGCACACACACACACGTACACGTAAAAGAGCGTGTTGATCTAATAATAGGTCGTTTTACCTTTAGGCTGTTTATTTTTATATCTCTTGGATGCACTGCGGGTATTACCTACGCGAGTGTAGCATCTTATATTAAATAGATTACCAGCTGAGGGGCGGCTCAGTTGGTCGGCCCACCCATCGACCTTGCTGGGCGACCTTGTCTTAAAGAAACTCACCTCCGTTTGAAATGTGCAAAATAGATGGCATAGATATGGATGCTTGGTGCCCAGGGCCAATACTTTGCGCTCAATCAGCGTGGAGTCCACGTCATCGTCCTCGAGCACCACATCCTTCTTGAGGCACTTAATGGCATAATAATATGTCGTATCACGTAGCTCAGCCAGCAGAACCTAAATACATAAACGACATTTTTCATAAAAGAGTTGAGCAACAATTTTGATTCGATTCTCTTGAACTCACCTTGCCAAAGCTGCCTTTGCCCAGCACGGCCAGAAAATGAAAATCATCTACCGAATAATTCTTAAATCTAGGTATTACTGTGGCTGGGGCGGTGAAACGTCCGGATTTTTGGAATTGTGAATATGTATATGATGTTTCTGTACGTTCCAAAGTATCCAAAGCGACAGATAGTGAATGTTAAAGATAGAAGAGATAGTTCATTAGGTGGCGAATATATTCAGAAAGTTATGACATCACAACAAACATAGAGTCAAGAGCTATATAGTAGTATAAGTATAAAGAGGTAGTTGTGTCCAAAGTTGGAGGTGTGTTCAGTTCGCCTGTTGGCCACTTGAGCAGCGCTTGACTTATGGGTTAATACTGTATACTAGGAAAGATATATATTACTATATTTGCCGTACCATCGTGTTCATCGTTGGCCTCGATCTTATAGGCAGGATTGCAGCTGGGCGGTGTGCTGGGCGAGTCTCGTGTCTCACGTGCGCCTAATTTATGGAGTAGATCAAAGTTCACGCTTTATAAACATCCAAATAGGCCCGATTTGCACAACAACTAACCAGCTAAAGTGTGTGTGTGTGTGTGTTTCGACTAATAAAAACCTTATGCAAATTTCCAACTAACTATATTGTTTAAGGGCTGCCGAACCAAAATTAGTGCTGCATTCAAACTAATTCGCTGCATTTTGGTTTCGTTTTATACATCCTTGAAAACCCTGGATTATTGCAAGCCATAGATATTTGTTACAAAACCAAAAAGATTCCTCTCTTAATCTAAACCATTTTTGAAAAAGTTTTGGTTCAAATTTCGGTTGATTTTTTTTTGCTGGGAAACTTGGATTTAGGTTCATTTCATAGTAAAAAGGGAAAGGAAAGGGTAAGGATTTTCCGGGTTGAGTTAAAAGCAGGTTTTATATCTAGAATTCCCTATCGAAACTGGAATTTCCTATATATCTGACACATTTCTTGTTGCATTTCTTTATACAATATAGTATATATATTAAATGGATATTCATTTGTATTATCCTTAATATTGAATTGTACTCTATATATACTCCAGTAAGTATTTACTCGGCATTTAGCATAAATAATATAATGAAAAAATTTTGAAAATTTAAAAGTAATGAAAATAAATTCTAGAACTTATCTCCACAGTCGGGCAAAACATTTGTTTAAGCAAAGCTTGAGCTGCTTATCAGGTTAAGTACTTGATATATTTTACGCTTTTATTTTTTAATTTGGCAATCTTTCAACACTCTATGCACACACACACACACACACACACCCAGTCTGGCAAAGTCAATTATGAAATCGTAATGTCAGCCATATTTAGGCGCCGTTATTTATGGATTTTTCTTTTCTTTTGATTTTTGTTTGCTTTTTATTTTGTTTTGATGGCAAAAACGAAACGCACGCGCCTCCATTTTGCTGGGGTTCGCAGCGATTTCGTTTCGGATCGTCATTTTTATACCCTTGCAGGGGCTATTATAAGTTTGTCGTGCAATATGTAACCCCAATAAGCAGACATCGCCGACTTCATAAAGTATGTAGTCGAGGGCCTTGTATGATTCAAGTTTCTCACTTTTTACGGCTTAATAAGCTTTTGACATAGTCGTTTTACATAGCCAGTATCTTTCTCCCTCTATCTCTCTCTATATAAATAAATACATAGCGAGAGAGAGAGTGAGAGAGAGAGAGAGAGAGAGAGAGATAAAGAGAGAGAGAGAGAGAGAGATAAAGAGAGAGAGAGTGAATATGATACAGCTGCCATGGAAATCATGGATCCAAAAACTGTTATTTATTGATCGAACTATGCAGCTTATATAAGGTAATTCTGATCAACATCAGACTATATAGAGTGAGCTGATCGAAAATGGGTACTCTTAGGTTTGACTGTGCTGTTTAAGAGTTTCGAGCGAGGTTTGGGTAATGCTCTTCAGATATCTGCTAAACCATATGCCTGCAAGGGTATTTGATCTTCGGCCTGCCGAAGTCAGACGTGCCACATGTTTTTTAAAACTTTAGTATTTATTTTTTAATAATTCAGCGATTCTTGTGCCGCGTTTACCTCGTTTTACGTGGTTGAGCGCCTCGACGATGAGTTTCTGATTGACGCCGCATAAATTGGCCGTGAGCCGTTCGCATTTCTTGTGACAATTCACGTCACATTCTTTTTTTTTCGGTTTTTCGGTTTTTCGATTTTTGGCAGCGTGGGCAGCACAAATGTTGAAATTAATTAAAACAAATCGTTATTAATATGATTGTGAAATGCGACCATGTATATGCATATATATGTATTAAGGGGAAGTTTGGGGGGGGGGGGGGGGGGTTCGGGGCGTTTATTGCTGCTGCGATTTATTGGTTGCACGTTTCTGGCCAAAGCGAACCCCTTCGCCCCGACACCAGCAGGTGTATATATAGAAAAGCATTTCCCTCCAATTTTCGCACTTGGCATATATAGAAAGCTTTGCCAACAATTAAAAAACACCAAATCGAAAATAACAACAAGTCGAGTATACAAATTGCTTACTCTATAGAACACACTCTACGCATACACACACACACACACACACACACGCATACGCACACCCACACACAACGCTCAATCGCATTTGAATTCAAACGCACATCCGTTTTGGCCGTTTCCCAAAGGCTGTGTAGAAGGTGTTGCTGCCTGTGTGTGTGTGTGTGTGTGTGTGTGTGTGTGTGTGTGTGACTGGGTGTGTTTATTGTTCGTTTAATGCAAATTTAATAAACAACAAATATTTGCAAATATTTGCATGCAATCACACGAATTTTCTTGCTACGAGTCAACGCGGCCAACACAAGAAAACATTTTATACAAATATCACGCATACGCCGCGTGTTCCTTGCGCCACAGAATGTGAAACTCAAGACTTTAAGCATTGATTGCGTATTGGTTTTGTGTTTGATTTGAGTTGAAGACAGTTTTTGTAAATGTATAACCTGCAGCTATGACAGCTACGTTCTATGGTTAGGTGTGCTCATACAAAATGTGGAAAATTCTTAAGATTTATGTCACGCGTAGCTAAATCATATCTAGTATTAATTTTTGATAAACAGCGAACTAGCATAGTTTTTATTAAAAAGGAAAAAGTAAGCTTGTAGTTAACCAATTGTTAAACAAAGCCAAATTATTTGAAAAGTTTTTCACGAGTTTTTTTGGGGATCACATTTGTTCAATTGTACTAGCTGGTATTTTGCACGGTTCCCGGTGCAAATCCACCCGTTTTCCGCCCGGTGAAACTTTAAATCAACCCCTATTTTAAGCTCCACATCTTAATGAATACGTAAATACTTAAAAATTTGTGTTTTCTGTTCATATTTGCCCGTGCTGTATGGCTTAAAGCCAAAGAACCAGCTTCCGTACATACAAACTTTGACCTACATTTCCATTCCATTCTCCATTCAAGAGCGGTGGATTTGATACACGTATTAAATGTGTTTAAAAAAGATATCTGAGAATAAGTAAGAATGCAACCATTTTTCGCGATTTCCGTACATTTGCGGGTGGAATTTCCTAAAACCACGTCCTAAAATGCGCCTTTATCATATAAGATAACTTTAGTAAAAATTTCAGCCTTCTAGTGATTCGATTTGGATATGATTTGGCTGGCTTAGTTAGAATAACATTTGAGCAACAGTTCTAATGTGATCAATATCATAGAGTGGTTCGAACTGGTTGACTTTACAAATGTAATCGGAGAAGTCAACTTCGATTTGTAATCATGTTTTTCACAAGCCCTAAACAAAGCCAAACAAAGTTTGGATGTTATTTAAATTGGAATTTAGACTCAAATCTGGAAGTCGAATGAAGAACAAATTGATATAAAATTCGCTTAGATACATACTGTATGCTGTATCAATAATCGGTTGATTGGAAAACTTTCTATAAGAAAAAACATATAAATTGACATATAGCCACCACGCACTCAGCTCTTGTTTCGCTCAAGATTTTTTGAATATTATTGATGAGTTCTGAAAAGCAGCTTTTAAATAGCTGAACATTGAACCCCTTGAGATATTGGCCCTTGTTGTAGCCACGTAGTCAGTCGATCCTAAAAGCTTGATTTAACTCGTATTCTTTTCACACTTTCGATATATATATAGTATATATCCATCTGTATATGCATAAATATATATATATATTATAGATACATGTGTGGATTTTATTTGCAAATATTTAAAAAAGCCTTTTGTTTACATTTTTTCGAATTTATTGTGTTTGAGGCAAAAAAGCAATTGAAATTTTATTAAACTTTTGCTTTCGGTAATTGTTGCATTAAACAACTGAAGAATCAGGGAATTTCTTTTTTGCCGTACATTTATCTCTGTACGAGCTCTGAACATATTTCAAATGTTTGTGTGCGAAACAAAAATTATTTGCCATGCATGAGATTTCAGTTTGAAGCAAAGGAAAACAGCCAAACATAAGATGAAAGACGACAAATCCCAAGAAAAAGACGTAAGACAAAGGCAAACACGACGCTGACCCAAACAATTTTGTATACAATTCGCTAAAAGTAAAATGCCAAATCGTCTTTCTCTCTCTCGCCACCGCGGCTTGTTCTCGTATCTGTATCTGCATCTGCATCTGCATCTGTATCTGCATTTATTCGCTCTTCCACATCGTGCTAGTAAATTCTCAACATTTGCTGAGAATCAAATGCCCAAAATTGTTTTCAAATTATATAAGGAAATGCATAAAACATGCTCAGATATCAGTGTGCTTTTTATCTGTGCAGATTGGAAAATAGGTTCTTTGTAGATATCTGACACAATGTCATCCAACTGATTTTTGAATATAAATTATTATTACAATTCTAACATAGTAATAGAGTGAAGAGATCTCCATGCCAGAATAGTTCAAAAAATTGCATAAAAAATCAAAATATTCCAAAAACATTTGATGTACAGATACATATATATGGATTTTACATGTATCGAATTGTTTTTTTTCGTTAGGATTTTCAAGGATTTTGAAACTTAGTATTAAATTCAAAGTAAATATATATATACATCAAATTTATATATATACATATATAAGAAGAACTGGCTAGACACGATTTTATTTCCTGGAACTTTGCATGACTTCATTAGCGCAAAATTATAATGTTCTAAGAAGCGAAGCATTGAAGTTTGTTTTTGAATTTTCATTGTTTTCTTTTCTTTAAGTATATAGTATAATGTGGCCATTTAAAAGGCATTTTTGTATACGCAGATACACAGATTTATAGCATGTTTATTTGTTTTTCAACTAAATATTCCGCATGCCATGCGCTCGCTTTCTCGCGCTCTCTCTCTCCCTCTCTCTGTCTCTCTCACTCTCCCCCTCTACTCCTCTTTCTTTCGCTGTCTCTCTCTCTCTATGTCTCTCATTGTGGCTATTGAAAATGAAAGCTAATTCTAGGCACAACAATATCTAAGAAGAAGCTGGCTGGGTTGAGCGTGGGGTTGGGTGTGGGAAGCGGGGATCAGCTGCTAAGTAAATGGCCGGAATGCTCGCGGGTTCAACAACAACAATAACAAACAGAAATTTATATTTTCGCGCGGCACGTGCGCCCACAACTCAAATGGCCAACGGAACCACCCGTCGGCGCTTATTTGCGCCTCACTGTCCGTACGTCCGTCCGTCCGTCTGTCTTTGCGTTTGTCCGTCCACATGTTCCATATGCGGTGTGAATGCAGTCTGTCTGTTTATCTGTCTGGCTGTCTGGGTTTGATTTGAATTTGGCGCTTACCTAGCATCTTTTTGGGACTGGATGGTGCGGTGCCGCCCTCGAAGCCGGAATCATTGCTGCACGTGCTCATCCGTATGATCGATGGCGAGCTGGAGACGGATGCGCTGCCCGATGCCGTTGCCGAGGCGCTGGCCGAGCTGTTGCTGTTGCTGTTGTTGGTTGTCGGCGCCAGTGTGTTGGCGGTATTTGTGCTAGCGGCATTTGTGCGTTTCTCGTGCGTTGTCGCTGTGGTTGCCGTCTCCTCGTCGAATTCGGAGGAACTGCTGCCGCTGCTGTTGCTGCTGCTGCATGCATCGCTGTCATCCTCATCGCTCTCCTCATCCAGCGAGCCGGCCGTTGCTTCGCTGCTCTCCTCGCTGCTCTCATCATCCGTATTCTCATCGGAGTAGACAATCTTTTCGCGCTTCCAGAGTGGACGCGGTGTGGCCACCAGCGGATATCGTGGCGCCTCCTCTTTTACATAGCATTTGCTGGTTGTATCGATTTTGATTTTCTTTTGCGGATCGAAGCGTGCGGGCGTCGCTTCTTTAGCCTTTTGCTTCTTCTTCTCCTTGCGCTGCTTCTTCTTCATGCTGGCACTCAAATTCGCACAACCGTCCGCGCTGGAGTAATCGCCTGAACTGTCGTCGTCGTCGTCGTCGCTATTTTCCGCGGACGAGGGTATATAGTCCTCTAGCTCGGCGTCAACGTCTCGCAGACACTGTGCCAAATTCGATACTGTTGCAAACTTTGATAAATTATTGCCGACGCCCTCGCCGCAGCTGGTGTTGCTGCGCTCATTGTCGACAGCAGCAGCAGCAACGGCCGCGTCGACAGCAGCAACAGATCGTGGCTGAATCTTCTGCTCATCGCCAGTTGTTGCTATTGTTATTGCTGCCGCTGCCGCAGCTGCTGCTGTTGCTGTTGTAGGCGTTGTCGCCGTTGCTGTGGTTGCAATTGCTGCTGCTGCTGTGGCCACTGTTGCAGTTGCAGTCGTTGCCGGTGATGACGCATTTGTGGCCGCCGGCAACGTTTTGGCCGCTGCCGCTGCAATGGCCGCCTTAGTGGGGGCCAACGTTATAAATTGATCGGCATTGATTGGGGTCACATTGCTGTCTGGCAACGATCTTGTTGCTGTTGTTGTTGTAGTAGTTGTTGTTGTTGTTGCTGCTGCTGTTGCTGCTGCTGCTGTGGGAGTCGGTGCGACTTTCTTTTTGGCTGCTGTTGCTGGCGTCGCAGTTTTGCCAGCACTTTTTTGTTTTGTCGTTTTCGGTGATTGCACCTTTGACTTTGGCTCAACGGTTTCCGTCAATTTCGATTTAGTTTCCGTTTGTTGTTTCACTATTGTTGTTGTTGTTGCTATTGTTGCTGCTGCTGCTGCGTTGTCTGGTGGTTGCTGCTGCTGTCGATCATTATTATGCGTTGTTTT